ATACCGTGATTGTGGAACCCATGAAAGGCATGAATGCAGACTTAAAGCTCTCACAAAATTCTTGGTAAACTTGAACTGGAGTCTTCCCATCAAGAACTGGAAGATCATCGATAGCCAGTGACAGACAGTCTTTATAATGCTGTCCTGTCCGATCTTTATAAAAGATGCTAGGTTGGGATTCACCAATCTTGGATACCCACTCTGGAAGTGGAATTTTCGGCTGCTTGGAAGCATGGAAACAGAGTGAAACATGAAGCTTCAGAGCGGCTTTCTGAACCATCTCGGCGACAGAAAGGTAGCTTGACCATTCATACTTCCCCCTGGCTTCCTTTTCCACTACTCCCCACCACAGCGGTAGCTCAACACCCTCCACTCCCAAGAGTTTCAAAGCTTTTAGCCCAGCCGCTATCGCTCTCTCATGGTTCACTCCGTTGCAGCTAGAAACAGTATCCAACGGCAGCCCAACGAACAATTTTACACCATCAGACTGGAGGATAAATACACCAAGTTAAAATCCGCTAACTCATAAAAGAACTCTCAGTTAACTCAACAATTATTTCAGTTTCCTTGTCAAGTGAAATATGAAATATATAATTTTCAGAATTTATGCTTGATCCACCTCGATACTAACTGAAATTGGCTTATTGTGTACAAAGATTGAAAACTCATTCCACAATTTACAACTTTTTTGTAAAATCTGGACACAACCCAGCTCAAGGAACTGCTTAATAAACAAGTTTAGCATATCTAACATTAAAAAAACATACAAATTTTCACTAAAACAAATAAATTTACTTAATTTCGAAACAAAAAATGAAATTTCAAAGGAAAACATACCGATTTGCTTTTAGTAGCAGAAAGACGATCGGATCGGACAAGGGGTTGAGAATGAACAGCTTTTGAAGTAAATCGAAGCTGAGCTTTTCTCCACCTCGAACCTTGACCCACCAAACAAACACCACTGTTTCTCCTAGAAAATATTAACTTATCATTTTTGGGAACACAACAGAACCTCAACTTTCTGTAGGCTAATTCTGTCCTGACCATATTTCCCTGAGAATTACCCATCACAGACACCTCCATGGTCGGAAAATATTTGATTTTTTATTTTAAAAAAAAAATCTTAAATAATTCCCAGGAAAATATTTCCCAATAACCAGATAAAAAGAAGCCGAACCGCTTCACATAAGAAAAGAGAAACAGAAATAGAATGAAAGGCAGATCGCACCAATGAGGAGATTATTATTATTGAGGAATGAAGGAGACGATTCCTCGTTTATATAGAAACTTGGGAACGGGATTTCATGTGTACACGTAAGACAATTTGATAAAAATAAACATTAAAAGAAACCTGTTCAAATAATCGGACACGTGTCGCTATTTTAGGTTATCCAACTTTGAGCCTCATATGTTTTCTTAAAAATAGTGTGCCAACATTTTTGTTCATTGACTTGATGTTTTTTTTTTTTTTTATTATTATTTAAAAATATTATTTGGACAATTTATTTATGGTTATTATTATACATAAGAATGATATTATGATGCGTCATCAATAATGGAATATCTTATCCGTATGTTAAGATTGTTATAATTTATAAAGCAACTCCTTCCATTGTTGTCTCATGTATACTTCATCAAAATAATTATGTATTGTAGGATTAATAATACTACATCAACAATCATTTCTCATAAATTTTTTCTCACAATCCTGATGTGATAGCTCACTATTGGTCAACTTATAATTAATTAATAAGACCCATATTGGATCCATGTGAAACTCATTATAATCTGACCAATTGTAAATTATCACGTCAAGATGGAGCGAAAATTTATGAAAAAGGATTTTTGACCTAGTATTATTCTTAGACAAGGTCCAACATGTCCTCGTTCTTTCAACATTATCTATGATATAACATAAATTATATAGTTTAACGTACCCCCTGGTGTTCCTCAAATAAACATATTTTCCCCTTACATACCAAAAATGAAAAATTACCCCTTTTTGTCACATTTGCATTAGAAATTTTTGTTAATTGACTTACCAAATTGTATGCGTAGTCCATTAAATCAAACACTAAAACTCTAATGGGATACTAAAATTAGATTTATGATACCTAAGGGGGAAAAATGTTACTTGGGAAAACCTTAGGGTAAATTTAAAATATTCCAAATAGGATGAGTGGGTAGGAGAGGCAGGTGACGTGGAAAGTTAGGGGGACCCTCAGGTCAACGACCAGTATTTCAGAAATTCAATGATGAAGATTTGGATAGGCGTTGGCACGTGGCAATGGCATAAGCTGAGTCAGGTCCAGGTACACTTTTTGGCTGGGCCTCATCCATTGGCTGCCACAGCCCACAGTTTTAGACAAAGACAAACCGTCTTGTGGATAATAAATTTCATATCACATGTTTGTTGGCGCTCATTTTTGTGTCCATTCATGATTGGATTACAATTTAATAGTTGTTAAAATGATCAATTGGATGGTTTTATTTGGATGAGTATGTATGTATTTGGGTTTTGGTGGTATTTTTTTTTTTTTTTTTTTTTGAATGTCCGAATTAGTTTATACACACATTAACTAATTCTTTGAAACCTTGAAGTGAATAAATTCTCTCAGTAATCATTCTCATTAATGTCTAGAGAGACTCGAACTCAAAGACTTATGTTGAACTCTTTTACTTTTTTATCATCAAACTACCTTATAGTGGTTGAGTTAGTTGGTGTTACACGATTGTTTCAAAGAATCTGTGTCTCAATCCTTTAATCAAAGCAATCAAGTAACTTGGAATAGATTTGCACGCTACAAAATTTCAAGTTAAAGTAAATTCATTGGTTTACTAACGTGGTATGATTAAAAACTATTTTATTATGTGTAATTGAATAAGACGGAGCACTCTTTAATTAAAAATGAATTAGTGAATTATTTAATTAGGTAAATAAACACATTCATTAGTTCAAGTGTCAACATAGGAATCGAAGTTTGTGGAAATCACAATCACATTCTAAAACTTTATAAAAATAATTTAAATTCATGTGATAAACATTACTCAAATATTGTAGAAATGGTATGACAACGTGGCACCAAATTAACAAAACACGTGGATCAATAATTCAATTAAAGTGGGCGTCTTTCTTTCGTGTAGAAGATTTGTTGGTTCAAGTTTTTTCAGCCATAAATTTTATGAGTGTTTGGTACAAATATTTGTCCTTTTTAACCTGTCAATTCTCTCTATTTTAGTTTCCGCGTATTACAGTCAAATATTATCCACCACATTTTAAGAATTTAAACAAATAAATGACATGATTTTCATCCTCCTTTTAAATTTTCAACAAACCCTAAAAATCAGGTATATTTACATATATATTAATTAAACTTAGAGCCTATTTGATTAGGCTTATTTATTGATCAAAAGAGCTTATATAAAGTTTAGACGACTTGATTCTATTTGAAAAGTATAAACAAATTGGTTTGATAGACACAACAAAAGTTGCAATATTGGAAACCCTTTTCCTTTAATTCAAATTGGGATAATACAAAGTTTCAGCCAAATTGAATGATTGATTCTACGACAAAAAGTTACGGGCCCATTCATAGATGATCAACCTTTTTTCCTGTTTTTTAAGATTTGTATTGTTTTTGGTGACTCTCATCCTTTCTTATTTACGGTTTTAACCTTATTTCAATTAGATGTGGCGGTGCTGAGTGATGAGATCGGGCTTTTACCTTTTAGCCCACCAATACGTGTCCGTTGATGTCATATTGATTTTACGGTGATGTTATAGTTTTTTTTTTTAATAATTAAGTATCCAAGTCAGTTTACCAATTGTTTTAATAACCAATTCGAAGTGAAGCCCATCAAATTTGTTGGGTCTTAGGTTGATTGACTGATCAAATCGGATGGCCAAAAGTTTAAAATTTAGCAAATACACACTTAAAATTTCGTCAAGTCCTTATAGGTTTTAAATTTAGCAAACACTTCTCAAATGCAAATCGGCGGCCGACTGATTAGCAGTGACGACACATCAAATACAATTTCAATTATCCTTGACCTATTCCTAAAAAAATCTACCTAAGATCTGGTTGAAATTAATTTAATTTCGGCCAGATCTCACCACCACTAGCGTCGACAACCCTCCCCATCACCACAAAAATACTCTCTTCAGCCTCCTAACCAAGACACATCTCGCACACCCTCGTTCGCCTATTTTTTTTTAATTTTCGATTGATTTACTCACTTAAAATCACCTCCGTCACCATACCATTCATCTTCAAAAGCCTCAACATCTTGGCTTTCAATTGTTCACCAATGACCGTCCCAATTTCTAAGGTTTTTGATGTATAGAAAAAATACAAACTTGGCCTGGTGAAGGCCCCAGTTCCTGGTTGAACCAGTTGAACTAGTCGGATGAGGCCAAGCTTTAAAACATTATAGTTTACACATACGGAGCAACACATTGCCATGGCCTGATGCTCTAGATTTTATGTTTCAAGAGTTATGATTGGGACAATTGCACCCAACAAATACAGTGCTGGACCAGTAGGCCCAAAAATCATTTCATCGTAAAACCAAGGTTTTGCCTGGTTTGCTGGCCAGTATATTCAAAGCCGACTAAATGCTTTGCCCTTTAAATTCCAATTTTAATTTATTATCCTTGTATAATTCTTCAATAAATGTTGTCGGTTCTCTTATCCTATTGCAGCAGCCCACATGACATGATTGAGAGAGCAATCACACAAACAGTTGGTAAGAATTGAATGAACCAACCGTCGCCACTCAAATGTACCGTTGGATCAACTTTTCTTGGTTGATTTAATGATAAGAATGAAAAGGGTAAAGCCAATTTTAATGGCAAAAAGCCACGCCATACCACGACTTTCACAGTACACCTATAATCAGTTCATACTTGTCTACATATACAAACACATTTCTACACGACATATAAGCTTTTCCCTCCGGTATTATCATCAATAGACAGTCCTATATTGAACCCCTCAACATCATGGAGGAGGAGGTGGCGGCGCCGGTGCTGGTGGTCCACCAGGTGGAGGTGGAGGACCTGGTGGAGGTAGAGGACCTGGGGCAAGTGGAGGTCCTGGTGGAGGTGGAGGACCTGGGGCAAGTGGAGGTCCTGGTGGAGGTGGAGGACCTGGGGCAAGTGGAGGTCCGGGTGGTGGAGGTCCGATGGGTCCAAGTGGAGCAGGAGGAGGAGCTGGGGAGCCACCTGGTGGAGGTGGACCACCAAAGCAGTCTTGTAGTAACCAGCAGCAACATAAAACATACAGGCTGCAAACCAAAACAATATTAGAGAGTTATATACTTCACAATCATCAATTTGAAGAAACTGATCAAAGGCTAAGAATCATAAACGATTGAAAGGTTTAAAAATTTTAGGATTGTAATTCGTTATAAATACGACTGTGTTGTGTAACATTGTTGCGCACCAAGAAGAAATAGCGTTGCAAAAGCCGCCAAGCAAGCCCAGCGGTCTGGGCCACGGAGCTGGAGGTCCTCCAGGGCCAGGACCAGGAGCAGGAGCAGGAGCAGGAGCAGGAGGACCCCAGCCGGGCCCACCTGGAGGAGGTGGTCTCATTTCTTTTATATAAACTCAGTCCAATTCCAACTTCACCCTGGAACTATGAAAAAATGCTCTTTTAAAGGCCTAAAGCAAACACTAGGATCAAAGTTTTAGAGAGATTCAAGCTCAAAACTTGGGAGTTAGAACTCGGGACACTTAAAACAATATATAGAGGTTGCACAGTTCTGTTTCGGTAAGCGTAGCACATGAAATTTCTAAAGCAAATTCTACTAGTTTCTAAGTTTTATAAATCTGCCCGTCAAAACCCAGCTACTGGTCTTCTTATAACTACTTTTCTATTCTTAGCAGCAAACTTTTTTTAGTTGAATTAGAATTCAGAGCTTTGCTTTGTGTAGGGAAAGGAAAAAGTGAAAGCCGAAAGAAAAAGTGGGAGAGGAATCTCTTTAGTCATATATATTGGAAATATTATGTGACAAATGAAACAGAGTTTGAATCAAGATATCTCCAGGAAAGCGAAATGAAGGTGTAGAAGTAGAACACCCAAAAGATAACTTTGCTGTGGAAGGTCCACAAGAGCAAACACCAAAGAGGGGGTTTGAACATCACATCACAAGAACACTATACAGCTTCCAGATTATCATTTCGTTTAAACAGGACAAATTCAATATTTTGATTCAATGAAAATGGTACAGCCCAACAAAATCTCTCTATTTTTCCAGCAACCAAAGAAGCATAAATAGATTTCCAGCTAGATCTTCTCTACCGACAAAGACTTTTTACAAGAAAGCAAAATAAATATAGCATCTTGCCTGGTTTGGTTCCATATTTTCCCAGCAACCAAATTGTAAGAGAAGTTCAATAAGAAAACAATTCAGTGAATTCACAGCGTACTCTAAAATCTAAACCCAATGCCCGAATCTTTAGAAATAGACAACACCTCAATTGCCCTCAGACATCATTTCCATAAGTTGCTTTGCAGAATATTATAATGGTTTGCAGAGATTTCTTAGAATGAAGCTAAGAAATCTCTACTTAAACACAATCTCATACTGATTAAGCTCCAAAATCTTTTAGAACAAAGTAATCTTCAGACATGAGGGTCGATGTAACCATAATATTTACAGCATAAGCTGGGTCCTGGCAAACAATTGTTTGTGAGAACAAATAAAAAGCGTCCGAACAGATGATATTTACACACCAAACCCATAGGCGTATACACAGCATTCAGTACCTCAAGTTATTATGCCGACAAAAAATCAGAGCTCTCATAAAGTGGATGAAAAGGAACACTAGTTTCATGGGAAAGGAGAAACTAGAGAGCAAATGGAACAATAGCTGACCAAGTTTCTAATGTAGTGTATACCTCAAACTATGGTTAATTTGCAAAAATAATTGGAGTAGCCAGGACAGCTTTATTAGATTTTTCACTAACCTAAAGTTTAGTCTCCAACACAAAGGAATAAATGTAAACATATACACTGCTAGGGAAGCTTCTCGCCATACCAAAAAGAAAAGAAAAAAAAAACAAAAAAAAAAAATTGAACAAGTGGAAAAAAATGAATACAAGAATTTTACCTCTCCATACAATTTAACTGGCTTCCCGGGTCTGGATTTATGAAACACGGATCAGCAGCTTTTGCAGCTCATGAATAATCTCACCAAAAACCAGAAATGATATTACAATGTTTGTTCTTTTAGATTCGACCAGAATGTGTATCTTTCTTGATGACTTTGAGTTGGCATGCCCATCACTGCCGTGTGTTTCTTTCTTCTTGGAGCACCCACAGATGCTGGGTCCACCAAAGGGCGGACCAAGTCTGATAGGTGCTTTTGCAAATGAGAAAATTCGTGGAACTAAAAGGGACATCAGGAGGATAAACACAGGATCGATGTGGTGTGAGGAACCCAATGGATAGCCAAGAGTCCTCTGGTGTGGAGGAGGAAATTCTCGCTCTTGCTCTTAGCATTTGCATGTGTGTATTAGCCGGCGCCTTGTTTTTGAGGGAAAAATTACAATTGATAAATTAAAATAGCAACTTAAGCTGTAAAACCAGAAAAAGCCACACGTAGAAACAGTTTGAACAAAGTAAAACATCATTAATTACGATAGTAATGCATTTCGTATACTTAATTACAATAGTAATGCATTTCCAACTTAACATTATTAAGAACAGTGTGGAGTGTGTGTTTGTGAGGAGAGAGAACCGTAAGTGGTGAGGTATAAATGATCAGATCAGCAATCTACACTGAACTCTAAAACCAAAAAGAACAAACACACCAAACTTTGAACCCAAGATATATCTGAGTATGTAGCATTATCAATAACGAGCATTGCAGATACCAGTCAACTTAAATAATATATGTTCACAGTATGCCTGGTACCAATTTGGAAATTTAAAATGCATCCACTTTGTATCCTACTAAAAGTGCAGAGGAAAAAAATGCCTTTTCTATGGATTACAACATTTTTAGATTAATAATCCATCAATCACTAGCGTGTAGAAATAAATGTATTCCAGCATGACTACCCAACAAGACCACAGGACAACAAAGGCATGCATGCAGACCCCATAAATTTTAAATGCAAATATAAAGATCGCAATTTTAAAGTGACAATTTTAGCAGAGGCCAACGCAGTTCATACCCATAAATAGAGCCAGCTTCATAGAAAGAGACAAAAATCAATCCTTATAATGACACTGGCCAACGAATCATAGACATTATCAGTCCATTATGGAGTTCCAGTCCTATAGTCTTTTAAGAAAACTAAATTCTGAGTTTGTTCTAATTTTCAGTTCCTGTTCTTTTAGTTCTGAAGGATAAAAAACAAAGAGAATCCATGATGCGGATAAAAGTTTGGATGTCTGATACTATGTTTGTCTCTTTCTTCTGTAGGACATGCATCATATGTGCCATACAACAAAAATTCCATCAAATTGTTCTCTGTGAAGATATTTCACCAAAATAATAAGTTGCACATGATTTATTCTGAAAAGTTACTGATAAAATTGTAATTCTTTAACATTAGAATTAAAATATTGGAGCATCAGCAAATTCATCTTGTCAGTTAAGAAAAAAATGCATGACTTAAGTTGAAAAGATGAAAGTTTTTTACATACATCAAGATTGGCTTGAAGCTCAGCGTTGGCTTCTGGAGCAGGCATTGCCCTTACAGCTCGATCACGTGAACGTACTTTCTTCATTTCAGCATTAGTTTTTCCAGCGGCTCTCAACCTACATCAGTAAGAGAATTTAAGGTTACATTAAGTGAAGCAGAAAAAAAGAGAGAACAGACCCATGAAACATGAGGGAATGGTGGAGTAACTACAAGGAAACAACACTGGAAGTTTTGTGTAACCTCTTTGGTTTGTTGCTGATGATAATGAAGAAGAAGAACAAAGAATTATCATTATCACATGGTTGAGGAGTCAAATGAGTACACAAGTAGAAATGCCCAAAACAGGACATGGCAAGAACCACAATCCTAAGACAGTGTCAACATAACACATACAAAAAAGGGGGGTAAAAGAAGCACTGGTATTTTCCTTTTCTAATAGAGTCAAATCAGTTTGATTAATAAAAACAACAGTTTCTCAAACTCGTGTCTTTTCAATTCAAGAACAAATATAAGTAATCAGAAAACGATAACTGAGGGTATGAGAAACCATTCCACCTTCTAGCTTCTTCATCTCGTAGTTTAGCATCCATCTCTTTGCTGGGAGGATATTTTGGAAGGCTAGAAGGCTCACAGGCATAAGGCTTGGTTGTGAAGAACTGCAAAGTCATGAGCAATTTATCATAATAACAACTGAACATTATATCCCATCCAAAACATTTCACATGTTTCCAAAAAGAATCCAGAAACCGCATGTATATTATCCTAGAAATGGAACCAGAGTGAGCACATGTGGCCTTTGCAAACACAACTCAATACTGGTTCTTTAATAAGCTAGAGGTACGAAAAAAAATGTTTTCATAAGCTAGAGGTGGGAAAAAATAATCAAGACATTTTGACCGTGTTAACAATAACTAGGGGATCTAAATTTCCTCTGTACATGTCCAAGTTGCTATAGAAGTTATATTGAGCAAACAAATTTTATGCTTACAATATCTAAGAACCTTAGTCAAGCCTTCATAAATGAATGTGATAACAATAGTTGAGCCCAGAGCCAGAGCAAGGTGAGAATCACCAAGGCCCGGCAATTTTCTGCAATAGCATCTTAAAACACAGAGGAGAACTAATATATTATCAGTAAGCTATAATAAGTTTTACGTATCGTGCAGTATATGTAAGCAAAAAATTTCAACTATAGAAAAGATTATATGCTTCACTAAAAGATGCACATTCCCTATGAGGCTATAGCCACTCCTTAATATGCGATATGACAATTGTCTGAAATGTGAAAGACTACCAAGAAAGATTAATTATGAAATGCACTCTGGAATATTGCTGCTACACAATCTGTCATCATCTAACTGATCAAACATTATATAGTCACCTACAAAATTTTGCAAATATTAGGATTCTAATAAAACAGACAAAACAGTTGCTATAAGCAGACATAGGCATAGAGAGGAGACATTTCAGTATATGTCAAAATCATATAAAAAGCTCACTTCACTCCTCAATGCAGCAGTAGCAGTTTGACGTTCAGCTGGATCAATTGCAAGAAGTGTCTCAATCAGTGGTAGTGATGATGGTGGAAAGTCTTTAAAAGTCTCTGCTATGCATCTTTTGTAAGATTGCTGAGGCTTAAATATAGTGGCATGTGGCAACTTTGACTTCTTCCAATATTCTTCAGAAGGAGAGCCACATAATTTAAATATCTTGTGTAGTTGCTCCACCTAAGCAACAAGAAAGATAACCATTAGCAGCAATAGATGAAATTGTTGCAAATAAAATTATCAAATTTATTTTTCTTGTTCTGTTACGCCTAAGCCGGCACATACATGAAACACCAGGAATTCCCTTATACCACAAAATGTTTCTCTTTCTTTTTATGGAAAAACCAGCAACATAAGACTGCAATAGATACAGCACATATTGTACACTA